GGGTGACTGTCCCTGCTTTTATACTGGGCAGTTTACAATTCTAGACTTTTCCTACTCTGGCAATCTTTTTTACTTAATTCTTTGAAGATGACACAAATATTTTGAAGTCTTAAAAAATTTGATTTTATACCAAGAAATTTTAAAATTAGGGATCTTTCCTGTAGTCTCTAGTCTATTTTAAGGAGAGTCTGACTATTTTAAGGAGCTCTCCTGATTTTTGTTTTGTTTTGTTTTTCAGGAGAGCCAACATTCCTTACGGCAAAACTTTGAAAGTTAATTTGGGGGGGAAAAAAATCTTTTGGCTGCAGGATCTCAAAGGCAAAAAAAAAAATCATTCAAGTGAAATATTTTTAATTTTTTAGCTTCCATCAGGTTGATAGTTAAGCTATATTTTGTAAAGAGAGAATTGTCCTTTAACATGCTGCGTGCTCGCACTTTCTCGGTCACGGTCACGCCCTGGCGGCAGCCCGCACTGGCTGGAGGACTTCGGGGCTGTGAGTCGATTCACAGGGACCTCAAGCGGAAGAGCCTGAATATGCTGCATTGGTTTCTTTAGCTTTTACATGTAGCATTTTGTTTTGCTTTTATTATTTTGTTTAAGTATGCTTTTTTTTCTTTTGGACCCCTAATAGACTATGGAAAGAAGATTTACAAAGTACTCTTGTAGTGATCTAGTATACTTTTTGGTTGGCTGGTTGGTTGCATTTTTGGTCTTTAGTTGATTTGTACCCTTATTGCTCTGGTTCCAAGGTGCCCCAAGTTAGAGTCACACCCCTTGCCCAAACCCTGCGGAGGAAGGAACTGACAGTGGCATTCCCAGTCCCTCCCACTTTCCCGTGTCACCAGAGGCGAGGGCAGCTCAGTCACAGCATGTAACTCTAACACGGCATCTCGCCTGTGCTCAGCCCAGACCTCAGCGCGCTCCCGTGAGGGGAGCACAGGCTGTGTGGCCGGCGGGCTCACGGCCTGCCTCCCGCACCCCCGTGCCCCTGCGCTCGCCCTGCCCGGACTCGCCGGGAGTGGTCTTGATGGACATGACAAACTGGTGAGGCAAGCTCGCCGCTGCGACACTGAGCATCGTTGTCGTGTTTAAGCTTAGCTGGGTCCTTTCGAGTTTGTTTTCACAGCTTACTAGGTTAAGTAGTTTGCACTATTTTTGCAATAAATTCATGGAAGATCTAACAGTTATTTGTTTTGTTTCTTACTGTGTGTATATAAACTAATCCTGAAAGTTTGGCATAGTGTTTTTCACCTCCTTACATAATCCCCTAACATGCACAGAATGCTGTAAATCTGATAAAATATGATGTGAATGATATTTTATAAAGTTATTTTGTATGGTGTCAATTTTGTTTTGCCTCATAGTATGTCAGCAAAAAAATAAAATAAAATTCCTCCTATTTCTGGCACCTTGTCATCTCAGGCTGAGGCCTCGCACGTCCTGGGAACACGGGCACAACCGCTCCCCGGAGGACAGGCCAGGGGCACGGCCAACACGGGCACAACCGCTCCCCGGAGGACAGGCCAGGGGCACGGCCAACACGGGCACAACCGCTCCCCGGAGGACAGGCCAGAGGCATGGCCAACATGGGCACGACCGCTCCCCGGAGGACAGGCCAGGGGCACGGCCAACACGGGCACAACCGCTCCCCGGAGGACAGGCCAGGGGCACGGCCAACACGGGCACAACCGCTCCCCGGAGGACAGGCCAGGGGCACGGCCGGGGCTGGCTGCCAAAGTCACTACGTCAGCTCAGGGTTGTCTTCACTTAAAACTGTTTTCTCAGTCTATTAAAAAAAAAAACCAATACCATGTAGGTCTGGCATCACCGAGGCCAGTAAAGCCAACTTGTGCAATGCTGCCATCCTGTGTGGGCCCAGGTGATGCCCCAGCTGTGCCACTTACGATCCCACCCAGGTGGGAGACCCGGATGAAGTGCCACTGAGGCCACCCGGGGAGTGAACCACGAGAAGGAAGGATGGGAGATTTTCTTTCAAAATAGATTTTAAAGACTTGATTTTAAAATACATTCATCTGTAAGGCAGAGTGACAGTAGGGAGGGCTGATCTTCCATCCTCTGGTTCGCGGCCCACATGGCCAGAGGCCTGCAGTGGAGCAGGCTGGCAGGAGCCCGGAGCGGCACCTGGGCTCCTGTGTGAGGACCACCACGGGCTGCCTGCAGAATTACACAGTGCCACGACTTCAGTTTGTTTTTTGGTAAGTATTTGGAAAGTCAGAGCTAGAGAAATGGAGGGAGGAAAAGATGGGGTCGCTCCCCAAACGGCTCCAACAGCCAGAGCTGGAGCAGGCCAAAGCCGGGGGCAAGCAGCTGCCCCCCCAGATGTATGAGCTGGAAGCTGGACAGGAAACAATCACCCCCAACTGCTGTCCACGAGGTGTTTTAACTGCCTTACCAAATGCCCACCCCAGAGACCCTGTGCTGCTAGAGCACAGAGCCCTGAGTGCCCACTGCCCCAGCATGTGCCGGGAACACAGGCTGGCAGTTTGGCCTTCCCACCCGAGTCCTGTCACTCACTGGGTGGCAGGGCTGGGGAATTGCCACACTAGGTCCAAGGACCACCCGTGGGTGTGGGCATAGGAGCTGCACCTGCTGTCAAGACTGTGACTATTAACTGCAAGCTGGGAGAGAGCCACAGGAACACACCTGGGCCCAGTGGCTACTCCGGTACCGGCTGGTTACGACGGGTCTCCCTTTTAAAAATGATTTATTTATTGGAAAGTCAGATATACAGAGAGGAGAGACAGAGAGGAAGATCTCCCGTCCAATGATTCACTCCCCAAGTGAGCGCAATGGCCAATGCTATGCCGATCCGAAGCCAGGAACCAGGAACTTCTTCCGGGTCTCCCACGCGGGTGCAGGGCCCCAAAGCTTTGGGCCGTCCTCAACTGCTTTCCCGGGCCACAGGCAGGGAGCTGGATGAGAAGTGGAGCTGCCGGGATTAGAACCGGCGCCCATATGGGATCCCGGGGCGTTGAAGGCGAGGACTTTAGCCGCTAGGCCACGCTGCCGGGCCTGGTTCTCCCTTTTTTAAAAAAGATTTATTTATTTTTATTGGAAAGGTGGATATACAGAAGAGGCCACTAACCAGTACGCTATCGCACTGGGTCCTCTGCCTTTTTTTAGATTTTTCAAAAGCAGCTGGAACAGGAAGCGGTGCCCATATGGGATATTGTCGCTTACACATGGAATGCTAGCCTGGTGAGCTACCACAACCATCTTTATCAAAATGTGCACACTGGCTAGCCTGCTGCCTGCCTGCAACACAGACGTCCCCTGTGGACACCCGTTCCGGCCTCTCCACTTCCCATCTAGCTTCCTGCTTACGACCTGGGAAAGGAGCAGAGGATAGCCCAAGGGTCTGGGCCCCTGCACCTACATGAGACCCAGATGCAATTCTAGGCTCCTGGCTTTGCCTTGGACCAGTCCTGCCTAGCCATCACAGCCGCTTGGGAGAGTCACACAGTAAGGGGAGGGTTTCTTCTCTCCCTCCCCACCTGACCCTTTCCACTGCCTTTCAATCAAAGAGCTTTTTAAAAGATTTGTTCTTTGGTGGGGCCTGGCGCAACAGTGTAGTGGTCAAAGTCCTCACCTTCAACGCGCCAGGATCCCATATGGGCGCCGGTTCTAATCCCAGGGGCCCCGCTCCCCATCCAGCTCCCTGCTTGTGGCCCTGGAAAGCAGTCAAGGACGACCCAAAGCCTTGGGACCCTGCACCCACGTGGGAGACAAGGAAAGGCTCCAGTCTCCTGGCTCCTGGCTCACAGCTTCAGACTGGCTCAGCTCCAGCCATTGCGGCCGCTTGGGGAGTGACTCATTGGATGGAAAATCTTCCTCTCTGTCTCTCCTCCTCTCTGTATATCTGCCTTTCCAATAAAATAAATCTTAAAAACAACAAAAAAAGATTTGTTTGAAAGAGAGAGGAAGGGCCTGGCGTGGTGGCGCAAGTGGTTAAGGTCCTCGCCTTGCATGCCCAGGATCCCATATGGGCGCCAGTTCTAATCCCGGCGGCCCCACTTCCCTTCCAGCTCCCTGCCTGTGGCCCAGGAAAGCAGTCGAGGACAGCCCAAAGCTTTGGGACCCTGCACCCGCGTGGGAGACCCTGAAGAGGCTCCTGGCTTCGGATCGGCATAGTATTGGCTGTTGTGCTCACTTGGGGAGTGAATCATCGGACGGAAGATCTTCCTCTCTGTCTCTCCTCTCTGTATATCTGACCTTTCAATTAAAAATAATAATAATAATAATAATAATAAAATCTTTAAAAAAAAAGAGAGAGAGAGAGAGGAAAAGATCTTTAGCCAAGCTAAAGCCGAGAGCTAGGCTCTTCTGGGTCTCCCACGTGGGTGCGGGGACCCATCACGTGGGCCGTCCTGCGCTGCTTTCCCAGGCCCATTAGTGGGGAGCTGGAGAAAAAATGCAGCAGCTGGGACTCAACCCAGTGCCAACACAGGAGCTGGTGTGGCGGGTGGTATAGCTTCACCTGCCAGGTCACAAGAGTGGCCCAAAGAACTTTTTAATGTGGTTAAAAGAAAAAAGGCTGGGGAGCCCCAAATGATGGACCACATGCAGCAATGGAAGACCGGAGGGAAGCCGGCACGCTGCTGCCCGACAGGCCAAGCCACAGGACAGCCCCCGCTCGCACGAACGGGCACTGCAGAGGAGGAAGTGGGCACGGCCTGGAGGCAAGCCTGCACACAGCTGGGGAAGCTCGGCTGATTACCTTCGTGACACACAGGAACCACCCCAAGTTCATCCACAGGTGGGGATGGGGCCAGGAGGACAGGTGCACACACTCCACTCCGGGGCCTGAGGGACAGCTGACAGGACGGAGGCCTCTGTGCCCTCGTCCCCACCCCGGGTGCCAACTCGTCCACACAATCCAGAGCTGGGCACGAGCCAGAATCCCTGTCGTCCCTGGTGCCTGCAAGAAGACGTGCCCCCACAAACGAGCAGCGAGCGGGACAGCTCCACGAGGCAGGTGCTGTGAAAATGTGCCCGTGCCTTTAATAGAAAAGACGTCCTTCACCATAGGAAATTAGCACCTGCACACAGCGTCCCCCGAACTGCTTGAAACGCCGAAATGCACGGAATACACGTTGGACCACAGCAGGCACGAGCTGGCCTCGCTGTGGGGGAGCCCCCCAAGGCCCAGCGTGCAGGTGCAGGCTCAGGCCCGGTACCCGCTGTCCACCTGCAGGGCCCCAGCGAGGGCTCAGCGCTCAGGAGCCGGCCTCCGCGTCGCTGTCTTCCTCTTCCCGCCTCTCCTTCAGCATCTTCAGGTACTTGCTGGCCAGGATCTTCTTGGGTAGGATGTCTGAAAGGCACGGCTTGGTCAGACGCCGCGCAGGGCTGGCCCTGACCCCCGCAGCCCGCGCGGCCACGGCCCGGTACCTGTGAGGAACTGCAGCGCGTCCGACTGCTGCGTGATGCTGGCCAGGTCGCCGTAGGTCAGCGCCTTCTTGTCCTGGGCCCCGCCGTGGCCGTACGAGCAGATGGCCAGGTGCTGCACAAAAAGCTCCTAGGGCCAGGTGGGAGCGTCCGATGACGCGTGAAAAACCAGCCCGCAGCCCATGCCCAAAGCCCCTGCGCTCCCCGCAACCGGGCGAGAGGGACAGGGAGTAGCCGGGGCCGTGGCGACCCTACGGGGCGCGACGGTTGAGGGCGGCCCCACGCCCGTCCCCACTCCCCTGCCTCACCGTGGCCTTGGCCGTGAGCACCAGCGCCTCCTGGTTGATGCTGGACACTTCGGGGGAGCTTTTCATGATGACTCGGATGCGGGAGAGGGGCAGCGAGACCAGCCGCGCCTCCCCAACCTTCTCCTTGCCCACTGACACCCCGGACATCTTCGGCGCGGCAGTGACTGCCGGGCCAAGGCCGGTCGGAATGGCGGCCCCGCGGCCTCCTGGGAGTTGTAGTGTCGAGCCAAGCGCCCGCGTCGGGCGGCAGAGCTACACTTCTGGAGTGGGGAACTACACGTCCCGTGATGCCCCGTGCTCCGCCGCGTCTGCGCCAAGGACCGCGGCGCCGATCCGGTGGGGCTGGGCAGAGACGGCGTGGGAAGGCTCACCTGCTCGAGGACCGAGGGTGCGGCTCCGGGTGGGGACCTGGAGCGCGGGGTGGACAGGCCAGAGGGAGGTGCGCGGGAGGCGGGCCGGCCTGAGGAAATTTGGAAGGAGCCGGTTGAGCCCTGTGGGGCAGCCGCGCTCTGGTCACCCAGGCCCCTGAGCAGCGCCGCAGCCAAGGAGCTGGGGTCGGTCGGACGGCTTGGTGGAGTGAGGGGCCCGGGAACCGGGGGGCAGCGAGTCGGGGTGCCTGGCCCAAGGCGAAGGGGGTCACCGCGAGTGCCTGGCCTGTGCCAGTGGGGAGAGCCGGTCCCCAGCCGGGGCCAGTGCTGTGGCGGTTGTCCAGGGGTCGGTCAGGCGTGCTGTGCCTTGGCCTTCTTGTCTGACTAGTGGTTCTCTCGGGGGTGCTGGGGAGCTGGGGACATAGGAAGGTGGGGTGGCTGGGAGGCTGGCCTGCCCGCAGGGTGTCCCACCAGGCTGCTGGCTCCAGCCCCACTTCCGATCCAGGGAAGGATGGCCCAGTGCTTGGCCCTGCATCCCCGTGGGAGGCACACCAGCTGTGACCACTGCCAGCCATTTGGACAAGTTAGTGGACGGAGGATCACACCCCCTTCTCTTTGTAACTATGATAAAGTCATAATAAAAGATGGCTACAGAGCTGTCGATCTCGCCACTCCGAGGCTGAGGAGATCCTCCCAGCGTCCACTGGCTGACACAGTCCACCTTAGAGTCTCCCTTCGCCCAGACATTTGCTGTCAATGCTTGGCTGGGGTAGTTGCCCAATTTGTTCTGCCCTCCATCCTCTGCTGTGGTGCCAGATGTCCTCTGCAGGCCCCAATGGGCTGCCATGCCTCCGTGTACATCTGGGCATGCTGTCCACTGAGGAGGCCCAGTTCTGACACATGCACTGCACGGTCGGAACACCAATCCTGGATGTGAGCCCTCCTGCACCTGCATGCCCCCATCTGTGCCATCCGCCAGGCCCTGCAAGCCCATACACCACGCCCCCCACAAAGGTGCCACTGGGTGTCCAGTGGGCTTCACCCAGCGCCCACAGGCCACGCACCCCTCTAAGGCAGACTCTGCCAGCCGATGGACCTTGGAGGACTTCCTCATCCTTGGATCTCTGAGATCGACAGCGTTTCAGAACAAAACCGCTTGAGCGGAACCCTCGGAGCATGCTCCACGTGGGGACCCTGGGATGACATCAGGTGGCTGTTCCCCGTCCCAGGCACTCAGATCAGGAGGCTGGGTACAGCTTCTCCCCTCAACCCCAGATACAGGAAGAAGAAACAAAATTTGGAAACAACATGCTCAACCAACTACCCATTGATCCTTCCCACCTGACCAACTGTATAAACATCATCAAAAATGAAATGAAAAAAAAAATGTCTCTGGAGAAAAGCAAACCAGAGACCCCCTAGCTGCCACCTGCCCCCGCAGTGGAGCTGGAGGGTGGAGCATGAGGAAGCACGATGGAGCAGTGTCACCCTGGGTGACACCGACAGCCAGGGACCTGCTCGCCTGCTCCAGCCACACATTCCTGCCCACCAGTGGGCCTGGTACCGTCTCATCGTAGGGTGTCAGCCTTGCCTGTCCCTGCCAGCCAGCTCCTGGTTAGATCCTGCCCCTGGCCGACACCTGCAAGAGGGTGTGGGCTGCAGCAGGTAACTGCGGGGCTGGTGGCCCAATCCCTGGGCCTGGATAGACAGTAGCCCCCAGAAGTGCTGTGTGTGAGAGGTGGTCCCATCTCTGCTCCTCTGCACGTGACCTCTCCCCAGGTGTGACAGCCAGGGCGGCTTGTAGCTGGCAGAGCTAGCCCCTGGTTGCTCCCCACAAGCACCAGCTAAGACTGGCAGTGCTGTGCTGATAGAAAAGGTAGCCACAGCTACACCGAGAGCTCACCCCTGGGAGTGCCAGGCAGATGCTGGACTCGGTGTCTTTCTGTTGCCTGTGCTGGCATGCCGCTTGTTGCCTCTTGCTTCCAGAATGGCTGCCACTGCTCCAGACTTCACAGTGGGAGAAACAAAAAGGTTTTTGCTAGCAAGAAAGGGAAGCTCCCTTTGCACAGGCCTCCCCAGAACTGGGCCCTCTGCCTGCTCACTGAGACCAGCGTGGCCATTAAGGAGATGGACCAAGGTTAAGAGCTGTTCCTGGAGCTGTCTCCTAGCGATCCGAGAATATCAATCCCCACAGAGGGGGCAGTGGGCGGGCAGGGTTAGGGCGAGCGGTGGTCAGAGTCTCTCAATTCCCACTTGCAGTCCCAGTCTGAGGGTTGGAACCGAGCCCTGGAGAGGGGTCACGGAGCCCCTGCAGCACAGCGACCACAGCCGGGGCACAGGAGCTGTGGAGGGCCAGGACGGGAGCAGGGAGCAGGGCTGCACGAGGCGGGGCCCTCTGCACGAGGGCTGAACGCAGCTAGAAGCACTTCATGAGTCATCCCAGCCCAGTGGGATGCAGTGAGACAAGGATTGAAAACAGAGTTCTACCTGGCTGTGATTACAGAAGCCGGGGTAGTGAGGGACGAAGCCAGCCCGCGGCAGGGGCGACAGGCTGGCAGGGCAGGCAGCCCCTTTCTGCTCATCTCCCCTCACTGCTGCAGGGCAGGGGCGGGCAGGCGTGTGACCCTGGGTGGCAGAGGGGAGACCGTCAACCGTTTTCAGTGGGAGAGCACCAAGAGGTGATGCTTTGAAATGTTATGGTGGTGAGCTACTACCGGGCTAGCTGCTGGGTGGCATGAGGCGCAGCTCTGCCGACGCTGGCAGGCCCTGCTCTGCCCACAGGCCCCTCCATGTGGCTGCTGCAGTGGGCAGTGTCCCCTTCACTGAGTGGCTGGGCCACGCTTTACCTCGTGTCAGGTGTCTGTGAGCTCCAGGAATGACAGCCGTGAGCCTGGGCGTGCGAATACCCGCTGTGCTCTCCACTGCTGGGGTGTGAGCCGAAGCAGGGCTGCCGAGCCCGAGGGGTGCCCTCAGTGACTGTGGGAGACACAGCTTTGCACAGCCACTGCGCTGTCGGGCATTCCAACCTCTCCAGTGTCCTCGGCAGCCATGTGGCCTGTCCCTGCCTCCACTTAAAAAACAATGCATTGGGCCCGGTACGATGGCGCAAGTGGTTAAGGTCCTCGCCTTGCACTCCCGGGATCCCATATGGGCGCCAGTTCTAATCCCGGCGGCCCCGCTTCCCTTCCAGCTCCCTGCCTGTGGCCCAGGAAAGCAGTGGAGGACGGCCCAAAGCTTTGGGACCCTGCACCCACGTGGGAGACCCAGAAGAGGCTCCTGGCTTCAGATCGGCATAGTATGAGCCGTTGTGGTCACTTGGGGAGTGAACCATCAGATGGAAGATCTTCCTCTCTGTCTCTCCTCTCTGTATATCTGACCTTTCCAATAAAAATAAAATAAATCTTTTTTTAAAAATGGGAGAAGTATGATTTTTTTTTTAAATGCATTAGCAGGGAGCTACATGGGAAGTGTAACAGCTGGGATTTGAACAAGGGCCGTGTGGGATGCTGGCGCCACAGGCAGAGGCTTGACGTGCTGTGCCATGACACCTGAGCACATCTGTGTACTCACGGCCACTTGTGACCATTTCTTCCAAAATGTCGGTCTGTTGTCCGTTTCAAGCACGGAGCCGACCCTGCTCCGTGTTCCCGAGAATTCCTCACGCGGTTGGCCACTTGGATTTCTCCCTGTGCTTTGTTGAGGTGACTTTTGATGCTCCGGTTTTAGAAATACCTTATGACGTGCTCTCTGCTCCCGTTGGCTGTGCCCTTGGTGCCCGATGCAGGGCTGAGAGGTTTCTTCCGTTTTGTTCCGTTTTGTTCTGCGGGTTTATTTATTTGAAAAACAGAGTTACAGAGGGACAGAGTATATGAGATCTTCACCCCCTCATTCTCTCCCTCGGCGGCCACAACTGCCAGGGCTGGGCCAGTCTGAGGCCAGGCGCGCCAGCCAGGCCTGCCACATGGATTCAGGGGCCCCAGCATGTGGGCCAGCCTCTGCTGCTTTCCCAGGCGCATTAGCAGGGAGCTGCATGGGAAGTGGAGCAGCCGGGACTTGAACTGGCATCCACAGGGATTGAGAGCACTTTAGGCAGCAGCTTTACCGGCCACGTTGGAACGCCAGGACCAGGACTGGGAGGTTTTGACTCATGTTCTCATGTGAGTTTTGGAGGAAAACACTCGTATCCTCACTTACTTTTGAATTCATGTGCGTGTACGGCCTCCGGCTCAGCTTGGGGGTGGAGGGACTGTCCACTCCCACAGCACAGCCCTGTCAGCCGTCTGTCCAGGCTGGTGGGTGTTCCTGGGCTGAGGGCATCTGCCCCTGAGGGCAGTGGCGGCTACCCCAGCGCTGTGACAAAAACTCCCTCCAGCAGGTGGGACATGATGAGACAAAGCTGCCAGGCAGAACAAGGGAAGACCGTCCGCCCCTGCCCTGCATCAGGCCTCTGGGCGGACCCCTACGACCCCTCCTGCTGATGAGCCTCTGTGGCGGGCGTCAGGGTGCAGAGCAGCCAGGAGGCAGCTTCCATGCGGGGCCTGTGTCCTGGGTCTGTTTCTACTCAGGGCCCGAGAGCAGGAACTGCCTGGCGTCAGCGTGCTGTGGGCTGGGGACGTGAGATGGGCCTGTCTGGGGCAAAGGGTGCCTCTCCTGGCTCCAGGCTGTCTTGCTGTGGTGCCAGGGGTTTTTCCAAAAGCTCGCAGAAGACACATCAGACGAGAACTCCACACAGGTCTCAGCCATGGCTGGCAGCCAAGTGCATTTATTGCCATCATTACGAAGGGGGCCGGTGGGAGAGGGCCGAGG